ATACTTCAAGTAGCTGTAATAATGTTTAAATTGATATTTATTAAGTTAACTTTCTCTCACCTAGTGTCTGATTATGTAGTTTGTGGATATCACTCATCTTAAAATTATGTAGTGTTAAAACTGGAAGGGTCTGTCCTTAAATATTAGCTAGAGCAACACCCTTTTTTACTGATAAATATGAGACCTGAAGTTTCAGACTTAAAGAAGCAGAGTGGCATTCCTGAGGTTTCTGACACTCTTAAGGTAGGTAACAGAAGCCACACTGGAAGCCAAAACTTCTTATTACTGGATTCCACTGTGCCCCAGGACCACTTTTCTTAGGAAGCCTGTCTTTGAAAAGTTTTTTGTTGTTTTTTGTAAAATTTTTTATTATACTTTAAGTTCTAGGGTACATGTGCACAACGCGCAGGTTTGTTACATATGTATACATGTGCCATGTTGGTGTGCTGCACCCATTAACTCGTCATTTACATTAGGTATATCTCCTAATGCTATCCCTCCCCCTACCCCCACCCCATGACAGGCCCCAGTGTGTGATGTTCCCCTTCCTGTGTCCAAGTGTTCTCATATTGCGGCGCTATTCACAATAGCAAAGACTTGGAACCGACCCAAATGTCCATCAATGACTGACTAGATTAAGAAAATGTGGCACTTATACACCATGGAATACTATGCAGCCATTAAAAAGGATGAGTTCATGTCCTTTGTAGGGACATGGATGCAGCTAGAAACCATCTTTCTCAGCAAACTATTGCAAGGACAAAAAACCAAACACCGCATGTTCTGACTCATAGGTGGGAATTGAACAATGAAAAGTTTTATTTAGCAACATCAGAGGCTGGATGGAGATTAAGAAAAATTGTTAAACTCTAAACCCATCCCCTTTATTACCTGTTAATACTGCCATGTAACGTTGCTGCTGTCTGAACATGAGTTTCGCTGTTTGAATTATTTCTGATCTCTCTTATTGGACCCCAGATCTCCAACTGTGGCCATCCCATAGCTCAGTCATATCCACTGCCAGTTATTTGAAGCAGGTGGGCTGACATTTCTTTATCCACCGCCAGGTTGTCTTCATGCTCACTGCTGAATTTGTTGGTCTATGCTAAGTGTCCTGCTGTGAAGTGAGACTTGAGAATCAGGTCTGTCCTTATTTACTGGCTCATCTTAGGTAAGCTATTCAAAGTCACTAGGCCTTAGTTGCACCAGCTATAAAATGAGGATTATAGTGTCACCACTGCCATAGAGTTGGTTTTAAATACATTTTTTAACTGTATAGAAAGCACTTAGAAAACTAATTACTATTATCATTATCATTCTTAACCTGAAGGATGATGAGAGCAAAGAAGCTAATAATTTACATGATGTGTTCAGAGCTTCAGATTAAAACTAATCTCAATTTAACATTCAGTTTTGGCCTCTTTGGCAGCAAATACAATTAACAATCAAAAATATTGTGATTGAAATTGACATTGGATCGGGCTTTACTAGTACAAAGCACTTGGCGTTGTTTACTGTTAGGATTTTCCCTTTGTTTTGGACATTGCATCTCATGTGATTTTTTCCATGTGCGAGTGCAAGCATGCTAAATTCAGGGAAATTATGCTATTATTGACAACATAGTAGATTTGATAAGTACTTGTTGAATGTGTGTTGAATGAATAATCTAGAATCTATACATAGTTATGGAAACATGGATTATATGTTATTTCACACGACAGATTTAGACCACATTAAGGGTCAGGACGATTAGTTTGTGTCATTTTTCCCTTCTTTTTCTTTTCTGAGAAGAGTGTCTCTTACCTAGTTCAATAACAAGCTTATGTGGATTGCAGTTGTCCGTTTTGTGGTTTATCTGAAGCATAGCTTCAAACCCTAGCTTCCTTTTCCTCCTGTGAATATACCTGGTACTACAGTTTAGAACATCCACTAATGTTTCTACTGCCTTGAGTGGGGTTCTTTTAGGAAAGTAAATCAGGACACGCTAAAACTCGGTATAGGTAGATGTTCAGGTAGCATGTGCAGTATATCTGCCCATGGCTATGTGGATTTCCAAGAGTGGATTGTGTCTGTATTTCATGTGTATTCATAAGCACCAAAGATCAGAACTGAGCCACTGCAGAAGTCATGGAAGGGAGTCTCAACTCCTTGTTATAACCCTTATTATCCCACAGTAGAATCCTACGGATTCCCCCTGCTGGGTGGGTGGCGTCAGCCAACACCCTCTCTCTGGCTGCTTTGTCACTCTGCAGAACTCTGCCACTCAGAAGCAAGAGTGACATGTTCTACCCACCACTCTATCGGAACGTCAAGGCAGTTTCATCTTACAGCAGCTCTGGAACTGAGTTAAGAAACCTTCCCTCTCAAACTTCATTAAGATTCTCATTTTCCAAGACTCCCTCCTATGGTCTTGTAGTACGTGGGTTAACATGGTATCTGTTTTCTTCGATGTATGGTCCTAGGGGTCATAGCAGTAGATCTGCAGAGTTGGAAGATCACTAAATAGTTTACAACTCCCCACCCAGCAGGGCATAGTCGTCATAGAGAATGGATGGAAAATATCCCCTTGCTATAATTGGGTTCAGCCCTGTGGCTTAACACCATCTTATTTGGCAATCTTTTTCTCTTGACATATTTAGTAATCACTTTAAGGGAGATTTATTACACTGCCCATGGGAACAAACAATGCACTAAATATTACACTTAGGCATGCTTTCAATACCACTCCTTTTCTAGCCTATTCTGAATCTTTTCCCAAAGTCTTTCTTCAACGCTTATCAAAACTCTCTCTTGTCTTTACATTCCTCTAAGTTCTTCTTTCTTCCAAAATAACCTTTTATAATTTGAAATATTTTGTAACTAGGAGTTCTTTTAATCAAAATTCACTGGGCCATGCTTAGAGAAGAATTGATAAAAACGCACTTTCACAGCTTAAAATCATTGAAGACATTTTTCTCACAATTAATCCCAAAACATCAAAACAAACATTTAGCATATGATTAGGCTGTGAAAGTAGCCTCCTAGGTGTGTGTGTGTGTTTACATATTTATATAAAGGAATTCAAATTATTTCAGCCAAACATAATTCAATGAAATGTTTTCTGATCCTGTGGGTTGGTACCCATGAAGAGATGTGGGGCAAGGAGCCACTGAGAATTAGGATTCTCAACTCATGCTCTGTGCTAATGAAAGGACTTTGACAGCTGGTGCCCCTCAGACATTTTTTTAAAAGCATAATATCCCACTCATCCAGGCACATGCACAGCAAAGTGTCTTAACAGATAATCTATTTAGAACAGATTTGAGAGAAAACATATCAGGATCATGGAGAAGGTAGTGAGTTGTAGTGGCACAGCCACAGTATAACAACTGTGTGAATGTTAAATTCTAGCTTCTTTACAGATGAAATGTCCTTCATTCATCAGATATGTCATAACGGCTATCTATACTCTTGAGAGAGTCCACTCAGTGCTAAGCACAGTCGTAGATGTACTAGTTTACTTAACACTCAACTACATATCTGTCACTGGCCTCATTTTGCACACGGGCCACATTTTATACACAGAAAGCAAAGCCACCATGAGGATAAGCTGCTGGTGAGTCAAAACAGTTAAACTAAGGACCTGTGTAGCTACCACTGAAACAGTACCATGATGCCATTTTTTAAAAGACAGTGATGAGCCCCGCCCTTCCTCCTACCTACATGGTCTCCCTGAGCCCCAGTTTTCTTATCTGTAAAGTGACTTGTTGAGAGAATTTAAGGCGTGAAGCCCTGACACGTGGTAATAGCTCATTTAAGTCCCTTAGTCCAACCACACCCTCGACTGCCTTGTTTTCTTATCTTACTAGATTACACATACTTGTACATATCTGAAATTGAGCATTGGTGACTTTTAGGGGTGGGGCAGTAAAAGCACAAATTCAGAAATTAGTTGCTAACAAGAACCTTAGTCATTCAGATGCCTAGAGGTGTATGGTGAGGGGCCAAGAGCACAGGTTCTGGAGCCAGACTGCCTGGTGTAGCCCAGCTCTGCCTATTACTATGTGTGTGACATTGGGCAAGTGACTTGACTTCTCTGTATTTCCTCATCTGTAAAATGAAGCTAGTACTTATACCTACTTTGTAATTTGCTGCAAGGATTAAATAAGTTTATCTGTATAAAGAGCCTAGAATTGTGCCTGGCATGTAGTAGGGGCAGTTAAATTAGTGCTTGTATTCTCATGCGTATTTTGATGACAAGCATTCAGCACCTGGGCACAGCAAATTCAATATGGAGCAAGGTGTGTAGAATAAATCCCATTGTTCTGCTTTAGCATGATTCCCATATATCCAAGCCAGGCTCTTACAGTTATAGCTCCCTTCCCATACATGTAGGCGAGGAAAGCCAGAGAAAACAAGGACCCTCAAGGTAAACCTCTTGTCTTTTATGGTAGAGAGTGATTTAATTGGATAAAGAGATCATTTAGCTGCCCTGCAAATCAGCATCAGAGGAGGAGTCAGCAGAGGATATCTGCATTTGGAATTGCACCTTAGTTCACTTTTTATGTTACATTTTCAAGAAGGAAACTGAACAGGGGACCTATGTAAGATTTCCCAACAGTATAGACCAATTGGGTCACAAATAAAGAACACGTGGAAAGAACACTGGTGCTTTAATGCAGCATTTCTCAAACGTCAGCTGCATCAGAATTCTTAAGAGGGCTTGTGAAAACCCAAATTCCTGGGCTCCACCCCAGAAATTCTGATTTACCAGGTCTGTGTGGGGCCTAAGAATTTTCATTTCTGACAAGCTCCTAGGTTGTGCTGCTGCTGTTGTTCTAGGGGCCACATTGTGAGAACCACTGGTCAAATGTGTGTTTCACATTCCTACTACCTATTTCTGATCTAGGTTTATAACATTTAATTTGAACTGTTTAGCTTACAGATGGAATGTCTACCCTCTCCAAAAAACAAAAATAGAAATATTTGATTAATAAATACTGTCATTTTTTTCCCCACAGTTGCATGCTGCTGTCACCAAGATCCAGGTTCCAAGGCCTGGTTTTAATTACACGTTTGCCCATATATGTATCCTGAATAATGATAAGACTTGCATCGTGGATGACATAGTGCACGTCCTGGAAGAGCTAAAGAACGCTCGGGCCACCAATCGGACCAATTTTGCTATCACATACCCAATCACTCACTTAAAGGACGGGAGGGCTGTGTACAATGGGCACCAGCTTGGGGGCGTCACTGTGCACAGCAAAGACCGGGTGAAATCTGCAGAGGCCATCCAGCTCACCTACTACCTGCAGTCAATCAACAGTCTAAATGACATGGTGGCCGAGAGGTGGGAGTCCAGCTTCTGCGACACTGTCAGACTGTTTCAGAAATCCAACAGCAAAGTCAAAATGTACCCTTACACGTCCTCCTCACTGAGGGAAGATTTCCAGAAGACCAGCCGCGTATCAGAACGTTACCTGGTCACCAGCCTGATCCTGGTAGTTACCATGGCCATCCTTTGCTGCTCTATGCAGGACTGCGTCCGCAGCAAACCCTGGCTAGGCCTGCTCGGATTAGTGACCATAAGCCTGGCCACTCTCACTGCAGCTGGGATCATCAATCTTACTGGTGGGAAATATAATTCCACCTTCCTGGGAGTCCCTTTCATCATGCTAGGTAATTACTACCCTTCATTTTTCTGTTTCCTCCTGCTGGTGGTGTTGACTGGGTTCCTAAAAGGCCAGGAATAGCCATCTAACAACTTTGTTTCATTTATAGTATCTTCATTTTGCCCAAAAGTCCTGGGACCAACTCTATAAAGTGCTGGTAATCAGCCAAAAACAACCTAATCTGGTAAATGTGCCAGAAGTTCAAAGTCCTGGGTTCTAGCACTGACTCTCCATTGAGCAGCCATGTGGTGTTTAGCAGGTATTAATCTTCTCTGTGTCCCAGTGGCTTAGGTTGGGCTTCCCCATAAGCAGGGCCCTGAGACAAAGATTTGGATACAAGTAGTGTATTTGGAAGGTGAGCTCAGGAAGCACCAGTATGGGCTTGAGGAAGTGAGACAGGAAGGCAGGCAGTTGAAGGTATGTTAATGAGCCCAAGGTATATTACATTCTGCCCATTGCTGTGGGCACCTGTGGTTCAGCCCCACTGGGGACCTTTGGGAGACCTTGTAAAACACACTTCAGAGAAGTCCTCCCCCGGTGTGAGGAATTTGGGCTATTTTCCCACAGATGGCTTGTGATTAATTGAGGGCTGCTCCCCAGGCCAGTTAACTCCCAGCACTTCCCAGGGAAGACCGAGCACACTCCTGCAGCCAGAGAAATCCTTCAGGTGACTTTGTAGTCAGGCCTTCAGCAAGCTCAAGAATGGGGAATGGGAGGGCATGCTGAGAGTGTCTGCTACTCTCAGTTTTCCCACCTTATGAATAGAGTGGATGTGAGCATCACACAAAAGGACATGAGAAATGTATAAGAACTTTAAGAGTGACATGTGAGAAACCAGTAGGAAGTAACTTTTTTCCTATTCTTACTATGAACTCAGGAGAATATTTTAAAGCGATGCTGATGGTGACAGCGTGCTTCCAGTGTGTTCACTCATAGGGGCTGCAGGAACTCCCTGATAGAGATTAATGGTCAAAACAAAGCCATAGCAGCCATAACATCGGTTGCCCTGTCCATCTGTCATCAAAAATAGCATGCCCAGCAAGCCTGATGACAGGTTTCTTGCGGGCCAAGGATTCAAGAGGTTCACTTTCCCCCTTTTCTATAGCAGCTTCTTATCAATTCCTTTAACAAAATTAAAATGTCATTTGGAATCATTTTTAACATGACAAATGAAGTGGCACTTTTTTGTTAACTAAGAAATAACCACTGTTGAGTTCATTAGTGTGCCTTATGCCCTGTTTTAGAGTAGTAGAAAAGAATTTCCTCAGGAAATCTCAGCTGTGTTATGGGCACATGATAAGCAGGGCTGGTGGGGCTGCAAAGCCACAGAATTACATTCGGCCCTCGATTCTCCGTGGCCTGAGGAATTGAAACCTAGTCAATAAACATATACTGGTAGCTTTTGTGAAAAGCTGGGCACCGTAAGGAGACTGAGCAGCCTGATAATTTGATAATGTACTTGTCACTGCTAAAAACAACGGAGAAGAAGGCTGCTGTACCTCCTCCTGAATTCAGTCTATTAAGAAAGCAGCATAACTTGCCTCTTTACAATAACCCCAAGACCATGTGGGTTGACTGTGGAATACAGGGTGGTTCCTTGAAGAGTGAGTAGGACTGAGTATTAGTAGCTTCCACAGAGGCCTGTATCAAGGTTGAAATTAAGATGTTTTGCTCACGATTAGTCACAATCTTGAATGTTTTGGGGGTTCCAGGAAGGGTTTTCATTTCATTTGTTTTTTAGCTTTTCATTTTCTTGCTGCTTTTGTGGGAGGAAGAGAAATAGGAGTAAGAAAAGAGTGGAGAACTGAAGGGAGATCGTGAGGTTCTTAAGGTGAGGCAAAAGGACGCTGGAGCTAGAAAAAGTACAATCAGTGCTGATTTTATGACATTCCAGGTTGTTACCAGTGAGCTCAAAGCATGTTAGAATATTTAAAACTTCTGAAAAATTAATTTACTAAGTAAAATAAAATTATAATATTTAAAGTTTCTTAAAATTACTTTTAAGCAAAGTAAAATAGCAGTATTCAAAACTTAATTTTATTAAAAATGAAATTGTAATATTCAAAACTTCTTAAGATTAGTTTTATAAAGTAAATTGAAATATTTAAAATTTCTTAAAACTTACTTTTTTGTACTTTTTAAAGAGGTTTTAAATATTGTAAGGGAAAGTCAACACAAAACAGACTATGGCAGATAGTATTGGTGCAGGGATGTAAGAGATGGTAGGATGGAAAGATGCTGTTAGCAGGGAAGTGTCTTTAAAAAACAAATCCAGAAATAGTAATGCCACAGATCCGCAGACTGAGTATCACTGAACTTTACATCAGAGTTCAATTCAGAAAAAATCTGGCATTTGCAGTGAAAGAGACCATGCACCACAGGTGCCCAATAAGCCCTTGTTTGCAATTTGTGAGGAATGTTATGTGCATTGATTTGATGGCAGTTTTCCCTGCTGACAATCAGTGTGCAACCTTTCTGTACATTCTCAGCCCAAAGCGTTCTCAAATTACTTAGTCATAACAAGAAAGGAAGCTACATGTTTTAGTAGCTAAGGCCCATTTGCAATAAATACTTTGCACAATGTAATGGGTGCTTAATATGCTCATAAAGCTAACAGTGCCTGGATTTAGGATGGTCGCCCTCCTGTATTTCTCAGATAAACTCTTCATTTTTAAGAGTTTATAAAATGAAATATAAGCAAGAGCCGCTTCATAAATGTTGCATTCAAGGCCATCGTTTAATTCTGGGTTTTTTTGATGACCATTCCTAAAATACCAGTAAATATTTCAAATGACTAAGAAGAAATTCAGTGCTAAGGGTTTTGGCACTACAAAAAAACTGTCCGGTATTTAAATTTTCCTGTCTATAGCTTAAAATGGCTATGCTTAACCTAAGTAGATTTAAGCAAAACTTGATTTAGTATGTTATATAAATACAATATCAAATCAAAAAGCCTCATTTAAAAGGTAAAGTATCTTAGAAAAAGTCTCAAACAGACATTTCCTTGGCTGTCAGTAGGTCTACAATGTGATAAACATTATAGATTTAAAATTCAACAAACTGAACATTGTCAGTGTGATTCTGGTCACATAGGCCAAATCCAGCCAAATGCCAAAATGACACTAGATTTAGAATGGAAAAATTTAAGATCACGTGTGTCAAACAGTATTAACCTGACAAAATTCCAGAAGAGGAAAGAATTTGGATAAACTCTTAAGAGTTCATCATAATGGGATGTGACTGTGTGTTTCTAGCCAAGATGATATGTGACAGTTCTGGCAATAAGAATATATCCTACACAGATGAATCATTTTGGCAATGATGTAAGCATAGATACATCATGATTTAGAATGTTTTTAATCAGTGTTGTGCATACTAGACAATCCCACTTCTGCCAAAACCTCTGTCCAGATGAGTCATATCAGTTTATTTAGAGCTGAAATCCTAAAAGGTCTACAGTATTATAAATGTTCATCGACATTTTTTTGTTACTCTAATTTGGAGAAGAGTTTATTTGGTCTATACCCTTATCGTGCATAAAATAATATCCTTTCTTTGCAAATATATTGGTAACAAGTAGTGAGTTACTTGAATTGCTATTTGTGAATATATGATGCTAATTATTTTAATCTGTTATAGAATTTCCTTTAAAGGATGAAGATTTACACCATTATTCTCCAGTTGGGTATGATTTTTAAAATTGGCATAGGTTTTCTATGTGCAAGCTCTCCTTACAGACTTAATGTTTCCACAGCTTTGCTGATCAGATACAAATCAGGAAAGGGATAGAATGTTAGAGGATATAGAAGGGAACCAAAGGAAAGTTTTCTCCCTTCTGCATCTGGAAGATTTGTTGCTTCATGTACATCCTGTACAACTAAAAAGGAGAATTGAAGTCATAGTGAAAGAGTTTGGATATTAGTCTCTACATGTAATCTAGTTTATAAAGGTTGCTTTGCATTTATCAAGATACAAGAGCCCCAGAGATTTATGAGATGAAAAATACTCTTTAAGCCCTTTTTCAGATGTTTGGGATTTGAGGTCAGCGGTTAGATCCAGGGTATCCTCTTCCTTTTGAATTATCCAACCAGGCCACTCAGATTCAAGGATGTGAAAGGAAGAAAGAATTAGTGGATTATTTCTAATTTGCGGATTAGTCCTAGGAAAAGAATAATAGCAGGGAAGTTTGGCTTCTTTCAGCTGTGTATTTTAAGATTATTCATATGTAGCAGAAACCAGAAGATTGGGTTCCATTCTTCAAAAATTTGTTCTCATATGATGCCACTTGAAATGTAATGCAGTACATGGAGCTCATAAAAAGGGAAGGGTAAAAATACTCATGCAAAAAATGTAGTTCCAACTGAAAAATTGTAATTATTAATTATTTTTGCTCTAAACTTAAGCAAACCTGAAAGGTTTTGCTTTCCTGATGAGTATTCTGATATATTTCTAAAGTCACGAGAAAATGGGGGAAAAATCAGTCAGATAATAATAAAATTTAAGCCATATGAAATTGCCAATATCCAACCATTTTTGACCTACAAACTTGGTACCACTATCTGGTCATTTTTGAACTACAAAAATGGTAATTTTGTGTGGTTCAGCCTAATACATTATTGTAGAAATCCATTATTTGTAACAATATGACAATTTGCCTGATGGAGTAGAAGTATATTAGAATGCTGTAGAAATCCTTTGCTTAGATATAAATCAGTAATAGGTGAAGCATGTTATAGAGAAAAAAACTGATTGATAAGAGTTTTGTTGTTCACATTTTTGTGTACATCTATTTTTTAAAAAGATATTTTATTTTACAGTATTTCCAAAGTTTGTCTCCCGAATATCTTTTTTTTGTAATGGCCCATGGTCATTATGGGACTAATTTACAAGGAGATTATGTAATTTAGGCTTGTAATTCGTTCTTGCCCTTTTATTCTTATGCTCCACCAATCATATTAGGGTGAGAGTAGGTGGAAAGAAATAGATTTAGGGGAATGGAATAAAACA